ACTGACCTTATACATTGATTTGACAAAAAAATGAGCAAACACTTTTCTTTTTTTTTATCAATCTGACAAGCCCTTAATACACAAACTACATATCCCTCTTGTATCAGTCAACCATTCATTCCCATAGAAACAATCTAATGCAAATTTGACAGCTTTATTGAGTGCATGCATTTTCTAAAAAGTAGGAATTAAAATAAATATCACCTTCTGAGAGTTGTCAATGAGACATTTCTTTAATGACTTGGAATGTCCGGCATCTATTTGTGTCCTCGGATCGCAGTCAGTCCAACTGTTGTGCTGCCTCGCCACTTCACTGCAGAATAAAGAGGTGTGCTCTCTTTCTCTCTCTCTCTCACAGCAGAGGACGTGCTCATGTTAGTGACCACCTCCAGTGGGATGGTTTGACTATAATTACCCCCAATAAACAATCATTATAATATTATAGCATTCATATAGTACAGTGCCAATTTGGCAATAAATAGCAGATTTATAATGGTTGTTTTTATGGCATGGTATCCCTATTATTTTCCTATTGGGTCTTTGGTGACTTTGGTTTTATAAAATACATTTCTAGTGATCCTGTTACATTGTTTTTCCGATATTGTCACTCATTTAACCTGCATTTACACTGTAAAATACGTCTTCAAGGATTGGAAGACCGGACTTTGACTTAAAAATATTTTATCCCTGAGTCGCTTGTTTGATGTTAAAAGTCAAGCTGTGAAGTGTTTCCTCAATGAGGCCACCTTCTAGACAAACACACCCAGAAACCTACATTGGGGAACTGAAATTAAAGGATTAAGTGACTAACCACGACCTTTCTCTAGCGGTACACACGTTTAATATTCATTAAGCTAAAACTAATTCAAAAATGATGAGTCCCGGAAACAAAGCTACTAAAAGATCTGTTATTCACAAACTGAGTATATCTAAAGGGTATTTCAGGACAAAAATCAGTATCCTCATACTCCTTGTATGGAGCATGTCCATGAACAATGTGAAGTGGAAATATTTAAGGATTTGTAAAGAGGTGTTATTATATTTATGCTAATTTAGGATCAGGCTTAGAACAAGTTTGTATCAAACAATGGTCACTGTCAATGCAACAAAGCACCCAATTTCGCAGCACACTTTTTGCTATATTTTCCATAATCTGTATAAGAAGGTATTTACTAGTATTGTTGACTCATAGGTGCAGTAACCTTAGTACTTTAGCTTGGTCAAAACGATATTAAAGGTATTGAGGCATTACCTGTTTTTTGGAAAAGGATGTATCATGGATTTATGAAGGACGGAACATGACTTAAGTATAAATAAATAAATGTATGAAGAAATACAGGAATAAATAAATAAATACGTAAATAAATAAATAAATACAGGAATAAATAAATACAGGAATAAATACAGAAATAAATAAATGTTGAAAAGAATAAATGCATAAATAAATATGGAAATAAATACATCAATGTATAAATAAATAAATAAAAGTCGAAAATAAAACAGAACACACGTTATTATATATCTTTCATTTATTTCTACATTTACGCGACATACATTTATGTATTTATGTGTCCGTATGCTAATGAGGTGGGCGGTCCTAACCTCAGTCTGAAGCAGGATTGGTTACAGGAGTGTGTGATCATTTCTGGCAGAGGGCTCTACTACTAACGCCTGGATAACCGCGCTGATTCGAATGCAGGAGCTTTACTGTTTAGCCCTTATCTTTATACATCCATGGTTTATCCACAGTTGTAAGGTTTATTTATGGATATTGATTTAAGAGCCATTGGAGATCATTTACGATCATTAGCGGACCATTTAGAGAACGGAGAACCAAAGACTATGTCCAGTTTCGTGTGGAACGATGTATAGAGGACTTGGCTCAGCTCGACATGATGTGACTTGCCACAAATCTATTGCTTCTGCCTGGCTCCAACAATTGGCGAATCCTGCTTCAGACTGAGGTTAGGACCGCCCACCTCATTAGCATACGGACACATAAATACATAAATAAATAAATGTATGTCGCGTAAATGTAGAAATAAATGAAAGATATATAATAACGTGTGTTCTGTTTTATTTTCGACTTTTATTTATTTATTTATACATTGATGTATTTATTTCCATATTTATTTATGCATTTATTCTTTTATTTATTTATTTGTGTATTCATTTCAACATTTATTTATTTCTGTATTTATTTATTCCTGTATTTATTTATTCCTGTATTTATTTATTTATTTACGTATTTATTTATTTATTCCTGTATTTCTTCATACATTTATTTATTTATACTTAAGTCATGTTCCGTCCTCCATATGGTTTATGCATGCAATCAGCCTTTGTAATTACAGATGCAACATGTTGTGAACTCTGTCTTGTTAGTTTCAGGTCTTCAGCGTTTCTTTCCTAATGTTGTGGCTCTCTTGATTTCTAAAGATTATGTTAATGGTTATTTGACCAAAAACAAAGGTTGTGTATTTTTTATAACATTGTATTTATTTTCATCACAACTGTCCATGATTGCTTTTAATGGAGATATTTACTTTGGGCCACATCAAACACACTCTAATGGTGGAGCCTGCTGTCTGTCATGCTGAGTGATAGTAGTCCAACCTTATCTTGTAAGCTCCATTGGTTATGTGAGTGATATTGGACTTGTGTACAACCTGTCAACAAATACATGGTATCCAGTTTGCAGATTCATGAGGCAATCCAACTCTAGAAAAAGCAAAAAACAACTGTGTCCACTGTTTAATCACTGCTATTGTTGGCCAACACAAAAAGCTTGAAGCCCAATTTGGTTTCCATTCTTGTCATGTATTTTATTCATGGGGAGAAGCCTCAGGTGGAAAAGACAGCATTAGTAAAGTATACCATCACCTTTCTCATGTGAAGGGTGTCTCATTATGCCTCTCTGTCCCTCTCTTGCTCACATTTCACCTCCCCAAGTCACCTGACTCTCACATCCAGCCACCCCCTTCTGACCTGCAGTGACTCCTTTCAGCCATTCCCATTACTTCCTGCACAACTGGTTTCCACATTCTCTCATTGGATCTGTGGATAATTATCCATCCCTTTTCCACTTTTAGACATCGGATTGTCAATGTATTTTTGTGTCATTTTAAGCCTATATTATCATGTAATCTGAACCATATTTGTACCTGCCTGCATTCACTCTTTCCGGCCCTATTCCTGCTATCCCGTGGCCTTTAACCAACTTCTGTCCACACAAGCCAGTTAAGCGCATTTATGCACCTTTTAAATAAATGTTCGTTATGGAGTAGTATCTGCATCCATCTTGGCCTCGACCTCTCCCGATGGGATGACTGTGAATGTAAAACTTAATTCACATTTGATTGTGGATCCCTCTTGGTGTCAATACACGGCCATGACCCCTACCACTTGAGGAGGGGTGATAGAGCTGCTTGAATACAGAGGGGGCGGGGGAAGCTGCAGCAGAAGTAATAATACTGACATAAATAATTGAATCTGACAATCTCACACTATTGGTATTGCATTTGTACGTGTAAGTGTTTTTTACTATCAATTTTTATATTATTGTGTTGGTACAATTATACTATTTTTTTCCCCCCCTCTTTCCTCAACCGAGGACATTTAGGGTTAAATGGCTGCCATAACCCTTTTTCTCAGGGGACACCACTGGGGGATTCTTTTAATAATACCTCCCACATATGGAAATGACATTTTAATCAAGAATAGATGCCAATCAAACTTTAATTTCCTGCCATTCGCTGCTTCAAAATATAATCCGTCATCCCAATCTAACCTTTTACCACAAAGCAAGGCTCTCCAAACCTTGAGTTGGAAAGTCACTGACTTGTCTCACTTAAACTGAAAGAAGCATCCTCAAGAATAAGACACATAAATTCCACTTAATTATATAAAAATAAGATGCAGTTTGATCTGCTTTAGATAAAGACATTTTTTAAAAAAGTGTTTTCAGTTAATTTCACATATTTCAAGCCTTTGGGTCCTGAAAAATAATCAAGGTGGTTTTCATGTCAAGGGCCTCACCGGAAAATGTATTCACATTACAAAATGAAGCCATGGTGGCTTTTATTCAGATGAGCACTATTTGATCAAATCTTCCCAAGCTGAATTGATATCATTCAGAATAACACTAATTTGCCAGCATATTACATAAAGATGGCTGACAGTAATAGTTTTTTAATACAACAGATTTGCTTAAACCGTGACTTTATGAAGTTTGAAATGTTTAGTTTTTGATCAAACTTTGTTTTCGATAGGTGTTAATTCAACTTTGAAGGGTCTACTTTGTGTGGCAGTTCAACTGTGCTGCAAACGAGTCAACTTTACCATACTGGTATAACCACATTTTTGTTGGATTTGAGTTGTTATTGAATTTCACTTCCTCATATTTTGCTCATATTTTGATCTTAAGTGTTCCCAACACAGCTCGGCCTGAAAACACCTAGACTGATAAGCTACAATGATGCTTTGATGTTTAAGCTTCCTTGGGAACCTGATTTGATCTCAAATACTAAATGTTAGATCCTATATTTCTCATAATGCCACTCAGTAGCTTCACTGCATGCTACACCCACAGCATCTACACTTTGCAGATAAAGAACATTTGGTTATTTGATACCATCTTGAGATATTGCTGTCAAAAAGGCTTCCTGCACTATTAAAGAATAACACAATCCTTAATCCCAAAGGCTGCGTTCAGAATCACAAACTGTTTTTTTACTTTTAGTTTTTTCTGCAACAGCCAACCTGCTGTCCGCATGCAGTATAAATACAATTGGGATACAATAGTCTTATCCTTGCACTTCGAACATTAACCCTTATGCTGTCTTGCTCAAAAGTATTTTGTTTTAAAGATAACTAAGGATGTATGGGTATTGAAAATGCAAGAATATTCTATTCTAAATTTTAGTTGTACTATTGATAGTGCAATCCAGCTAAATTAAAGTCCCTTGGTTCAGCCTATGTGCAGAACAAATCAATTATACTTTTTTTTCAAACGTAGGTAAAACTTTATTAGTAAAATTAACATGGCAAACATAAAGACATTCGCAATATGATAAAATATGTTCAGGCATAGATCAGAGTATTGCTTCTCAAGATGATACCATTTTTAAAAACCTTTAAAACAGAACTGCACGTGGTCCTTCATTAACCTTTCAATATGTATTCAAAAGTAGAGAGCCGTTCTTGTTACAGATATAATGGGGGTCACTACAAAGACTAGATGCTAATTTTACTGCTACAGGACAAAAATAATCTAAATTAAAGTTCTTTATTTGGTGGTGTGATTTAGTAGAAGGGATGAATAACAAGGATTGAAGAAGTACTTAACACTCAGTTGCTGGGGATACGGGGGATGATGATGGGCTGTAATTACCTTTTTGACCACTGTTCACAAAAGCTTTGGCCAAAATGGCAATGGTTAATGCAAGCCGAATGAGTTCTTTTTTCAGTGTTACTATTTTAACACACTCATTTCTCCGGGCTGTGAGCATCATCTTCCTCTGGTTTGTCTTCATCTCTCTTTTCCTCTTCACTCTGGTTTGGTTCAGCTGTTTCATTATTCTGAGACGGCCTCAGAAGGAACTCCAGCTCTTCTGCGCTAATGGCCACCTTTTCAGGAATCAGCCACCTCTTAAAGTGTTCAATAGCACTAGGAAAGAGAAGTACACAAGAAGGTAAAGTAGAAAGTCTAAGACCAGAAGAGTATTAAGCACAGGACACAAGTTTTATCCTTGCAACACAAAATGTGAAATAATTGAAAGAAAACGCAGGTATATTCGAGCATACTACAGGAAAATAGGTTACCAAAGGTTGTTTTGCAGTTATTTTTGCAACATTCAAAGTTAGAATATATAATGAAAACAAAAAAATAAGATATCGTCTTTAATTGGGCTTAAATGGACAGATATCAGCAGATCACAAACCAAGAAGAGGATACAAGCTCTCTTCAGGCAAGATAACCCTTCACCTAATGTTTGAATCCTGTCAAAACACCTTGTGTTAATGCATAACCGTTGCTTCCCATCTTACCTTTGATCCATTTCCCCGCCTTGAAAGAGCTCTGAGGCCTGAGCATCGTGCAGAAATCTATCCCAGCATTCTTTTTTAGCTTGAGACAAGGAGCGCAACATGTCCTTGGATGTCACATCACTTGACTGGCCCTTTATCTTCTTCAGGCGGTTCTCTGCACCAAAATGTAGGCAAAAAAACAGATTTGACATTAAAAAAAATCAGGATGCAGATTAGTCTGAGACTCAGTATACCCATGATTTGGCCATTTTTTTCACCATAATCCTTGTGGTTGTTCCCTCAATTTATCCTTAAGTAAATTATTCTTTCGTAAAATTTGTATTTTCATTATTGATTAATCTAAAGTATGTCATCTCAGTTGATTGATTAATAATTTAGTCCAGGGCTGCACATATTGTTATATAAAACAGATCAAATATAAATTGCCGTTTTTTTGTTGTTATTGCATCTAAAAAATACAAAATGTGCAACTATTGTTTCCTATTAACCTGTGGCACACATTTAGTACCAAGGAAAGGCAACCTTAATTAATTTTATATTGTGTAAGAAAATGGTTTTTTTTAAAAACGCCTTTTGGGACCAAAACCATATCATTCCTATTATCTATCATACTACTTGTTTGGGGATGAAGGGACAAAGCAGGAAAGATGTCTGTACCTAAACTGGCTATGTAGATATCAGAATCCTCCATGGGTTCCCATATGGCGTCAGAAGAACTGTCATTTGTCCCGTTTGAGTGACCATTGACCTGCACTCCCACTTGTGCTGCTGGCTCGAATGAGTCTCTGAACTCCGTGTTGATCTCCGGGGCGGCTGCAGCCTGGGACCCCGGCAGACTGGAGCAGATCTCGGTCCACAGCTCCCCGCTGGACCGGGCCCCCTCCTGGCTCCTGAAGTCGTCAATCATTGTGACTAACCGAGAGCAGAAGTCAACAATAGTTAGCATTAGCCACATTTGTTTATGTTCTAGTGGTTCCTTCAGGTACATTATAACAGGCCTGTAAGACATCTAGATACCAAGGAAGGCAAACAATGCAGAAACCCAAACAACGTTACTTAACAGTTTACAGTTTTATCTCAAAACTGAGCTTTCCTTTACATCAACATACCTAGCCTAACATGGGTCTAACTTCTCGTGGTGCATGTCAAATGTTCTTCACACGATTTTCATGATACTACATTACAAATAAATAAGTCTTACCTGTGTGAGTAATCAATAGAATAACCGTTATTTATTCTGTTGTATTAATTTTAAGATAAAAGATTAGCCTCACAAGCTAACCGTGCCCATGATCCACAATTTTTAACGAGCAACATCCAACATCCCACTTCCTTATTTGGGCGCATGTGATTGGACGTCGTAACCGTCCATCAAACTGTTTTGAATTGTGATTGGATCTCTTGAGGTTTCATGCCTGATAGTGCTTATCCTATTGGCTGTTTCGCTCAGTAGGGAGTCAGGAAGTTTGTCTCAGCTGGAAGGAACAGTGCAGAACTTCCAAGGTAAATACGCTCTGCTAACCTCTCTATATGTGCTTTATTCACAAGTATTGCTCATTTGTAGAACTGGCATTAGCATTTTCAACTGTTGCATTGTATTAAACATTTATAATGTAACGTTAACTTGGTCGTGGTTATTTAATCAGCTCTCTGGTTGACTGTCAAGTGCATGCTATTGTGTAAATATCGTATTATGCCATATTAAATCGTATCATTACCGACCATTTAATGTATGTTTAAGATGTTACATCTATATGTCCTCCGGCTTGCATGCGCTGATCATCACGCCACTGCAGTGAGACCCAGTGTAGGAGATGCACGCTGCGGTGCGCCTGGCATTAGTGGCCGTCCCGATGGGTGTGTTGCTGTCCCGGACCATGGCGTGGATGTCCAGCGGCAAAACACACGCAGAGCTCATCAGCAGGCTGAGGGGTAATGTGCTGATGCTTGGACATCACAGGGTCTTAGGCTCACATATCTCAAGGTCAAGCTAATAAAGACATTTATTTTTACTTTACTAGCCTATATGGTTTCTATTATGTTGATTTTTCTTTATTTTTGTTTGTTACCTTTTATTTGTATTTTTACTTATTGTATGGTTTGTCAGCTGAGCTGTGTGATTTGTGGGTACTTGTGGGTTATGTCGCCACTTTTTTTTGTCTTTTTCAGAGTCTCTAAATAAATACGCACTTTTTTTGTACCCTAACCATCTTAAGACCTACCTGGCCGAGTTCATGTGGAGGAGCAAGCTACCCGCTAGAGTCGATGCATCAAATAATAAAGTGGCGACAGATAAGCCACAAGTACCGATTTTTGTATTGTATTCATTTCTTTCTCTGTAGGAGCTCTTTGTTCTGGAGGTTTTAAAGTGCTTTACACATAAAGCTGTATTGAGGTGTATAGTGTTGTCCTTTTGTATGTGTATCTTGCTTTATTGTAGACAACTCAGGAGACAGTGAGTATTGTTAACTGTGCTTTATTCACGCTCTGTACTACATCATAACTGGTGTCACTCATATAACATTCCGGGTATTCACAACTCCGGAGCAATATGTCACAACATTACAAGGTGTTAGTCAGAAGGTATGATGGATCATTTTACAGAGATTTTAAATGAAAAGTAAAATGACAAATAAACTATAAATATATTTTATGACTCACAATTATCAGGGCATATTTAAAAAAACAAAAACGGAATAATTCTCAAAATGTATTACATTTTGCACTAACATGGAAAATGATTTTCATTGTCTCCTCTCTTCTTCCCCAGATCACGGGGTGATCCGCAGTGACCGAGTGTTTGATGCCATGCTGGCTACAGACAGAGGGCTCTACTCCATAGATTATCCTTATGCAGACTCTCCTCAAACAATAGGTTTTTATTTCAGTTGCTCTTCACAGACCATTTCATGTATTTGCCCGACAATACGAGTACTTTATGTTTTGTGTTTCATGAGCACAGATATTTGCTGTGACTTTGTGTTGTGACATTTTCTTATCACAGGCTACAGAGCGACCATCAGTGCCCCCCACATGGTGAGTAACAACACTCTACTGCTGCGAGACCTCCTATTATTCAGTTTTAATGTACATACACATGATTGGCTAAATGACTTCCTGTGGTGGTTTGACAGCATGCTCATGCTTTGGAGCTGTTAAGTGACCAACTAACTGAAGGAGCATCTGCACTCGATGTGGGTTCAGGAAGTGGATATCTCACAGCCTGCTTCGCAAGGATGGTAGGTTCTGTACACACTTTTACATGTTTCCTACAAGTTTGCGTGAAATACAGTGTATGATTGAGTGCACTGGATGCATTTTCTGTTGTTTGTAGACAGGACCCAGTGGTAGAGTGGTCGGAATTGAACACATTGATGAACTGCTTAAAATATCAATAAAAAAAGTGCAAGGGGACGACCCAGAACTGCTCACATCTGGACGCATCAAACTTGTAGGCGAGTCAGAAGATTCACAAATAATGCCCTTTTCTAATTTTGATGTTGCACAGCGATAGAGATTTTATTAAAAGTCATACCTGCATCCATCCACAGTGGGAGATGGAAGACTCGGCCACCCAGAAGGAGCGCCGTATGATGCCATTCATGTTGGTGCAGCTGCAGCTACTGTTCCCAAGGCTGTAAGGACGCATATGACTTTGACTCTTGTGAAAGAGAAGCACTTTTAGGGCAAAATCCACAAACAAAGCACATTCAGTCAAGGTTAAAACACACTGCAGTACATCTTATAAGTAATTCTCAAACAGCTAATGGTCTTTAAAGAATATTTCCTAAAGTGCTGTAAGCTGTTGGATCAGAATTGTCTCCACCCTCATGGGAAATTTCTGTTTTCTGCCATCTGTTTGTTAAAGCTCTTGGAGCAGCTGAAGCCTGGGGGACGGTTGGTTCTCCCAGTCGGCCCTGAAGGTGGCAGTCAGGTGCTAGAACAGTACGATAAGCAGAGTGATGGGACCTTCCTGAAGAAAGCTTTGATGGGAGTGGTTTACGTCCCACTGACTGACAAGAGACGCCAGTGGCCTGGGTACTGCTCAAAAACTCAAATTTCTAACCTTGATATTTATAGGAAAACCACTTTATGTGCTGACTAACCTCCAGCAGGGGCCTCTGTGATCTTCAGTGTGTTTTGTTCCTCATGAGTCACATCCACCTCTGCTCTATAGCTTGATTCTGATGATATCCACAATGTCCTTCCTTCTGTCCCCAGAGGTGAGCTCTGACTGCAGTGTGGTTGCCCCCGCAGGAGGTGGCGTTGGTGCTGCGTCTCCGGGGCCCCTTAGCCCTCCTCATGGTTTCACTGAGCTCCTGTCTTAACGGCCACCTGCCCCGCTGGGTCGTCACCTAGCAACGTACAAGGAGGATCTCACCCTGTTTGCCCAACCAGATTGTGTTCAAAGGATGATAAAACAGTGAGAGACTGAGAATGAATGACCACCGCTGGACTGATGACCTTAAATCCAGTGTCCATTAGAGAGTGATACTGTGGATAACTAAGGGAGGCTGTCCGGGATCTAAGTGATTCACAGTATTATTTATGGGTGAGTCAGTAAAGAGAAAAATGCACTTAAGGAGGTAGCCTACAGGATTACTTTCTTTTGGAAGCTTGTGGTCATTTCAGATGAGAGTTAATATGTGACCCTGTGTGCAATCTTATGGGATGTTTTGGCTATGAATAACACATAAAGATACACCCAAATTCTAGCCATGGAAGTTTAATGAAAAATTCTGCAAATCAAAAGGAAATAATATATATTTTGTAGTAAGAATCCTTCTCTTACTGCTTTTTATATTGTATGTTAAAGATATGTGCTCTTTGACATTGATTATGTACAGCAGAGTGGGCATTGTGCCAAAATGTTTTACTATACAAAAAGTAAATTATGTGTACACAGATTAATGAAATAAACCCACTAAACAGAAACTTGATTGTTTTTCATTTTTCTTCAAATAATCATTACATCATGGTCAGGAAAAGGAAGCAATGTATATTATTTTTGAATGAGAGTATAGGACACAGGACATTAAATTATGTTCAACAGAAAATGTCGATCATTGTCTGAAGGAGGAAACCTTTTTCAATATCTTTCATATCAAATCAGATGATTTATAAATAAGATATTTCTTTTAATTGTATATATTTTTTAATGTTTTTAATTGTTTGTAGTGTTCCAAAACCAGATATTAAGTATTGGCTATTTTGTCACAAAAATAATAGAAATTATCTAATCCAAAAATGCATGAAGGAGAAATTATTTGACCCTTTATTAACCCTACCTCATAATATTTAAAGACATATTGCAAATGTTTTTTTTGGTGAAAATGGTTGATTCCTAACTTCCCACACAAGACACAATCTTTTTAATGTAGCATTATGACTTCAACCTCATGTTAGTTTATCACTCTTGAGTCTTGAGTTAATAAAGTAATATCTTCTTACTAAACTAAATACACATTATGAACTGTTGGTGGCGATAATGTGTCGGTGATGAGGTGTTTTACCCTCAGGTTTAAAAAAAGGAAGAAGAGACAGAAAGGTTAAATAGAACTACATATCGGAGTGAATGGACTACATAAACTGTCATCAGTATGCGCACGTAGTGAGAAGGACCTCTAGCTAGAGAGCAATGCACGTGAGTGTGTCGGTTATTAGAGGCTTGAGAAAATGTAATGTCGCGTCTTTCTTCACGTTCGGACAAACAGGAGTTACAACAATACTTTGCAACTTTATTTCGTTTAAAAGCTTTAATTTCACTCTGTGTTCTCCACGGTGTCCACAGAGCAGCTCGACGATGGAGCAGTCAGCTGTCGTAGAGGTAAACAGTCCGGAGTCTGAGGAGAAAACCACCACCAAAGAGGTGACAGAAAGTGGAAAAAGAAAGAGCGAAGAGACGGGCGATGCTGAGAAAAAGGGCCGAGGCAAGAAGCGGAGAGGAGCCGGTGGAAAGAAGCTCCGTCCGGGCGAGAGATACGTCCCCCCTCCGCAGAAACGGAACCCCGGTGTCAGCTTCTGCAAGGAGCATTTCGACGAGACCGACTACTACTTTGACGGTGGTCTTCGTAAAGTCCGTCCGTACTACTTTGACTTCAAAACGTACTGCAAAGGGCGGTGGATTGGGAAGAGCCTTCTGGAGGTGTTTAAGCATGAGTTCAGAGCGGAGACCATGGAGTATTACCACAGGGCTGCCAAAGAGGGCCGCATCCGGCTGAACGACACACCTGTGGAGGACCTGTCTGTGGTGCTCAGGGTCAGTACTGCTTATGATGCTATATATCTAAGGTGTTAGCATAATGCTAGCAGGGCTAAATGACAGAATAACTCAGGGTAAAGTCAACTGAGTTCAGGCTTGATCTAAGTAAACCAGTTATTGATACTGCACATGATGTATTTTATTCTAATATTCACAGTATTTTGTCATTTTATAATTTTCTTGTATATCTACATTGAATGTAAATATGTTTTCTAGATTTTAATATATGTTTTAAACAATTATGATTTTTATAATGTTTTTTTTATTTTTTTACAATTTATGTTTATTAACTGTTTATATACGCACGATACGCATTTGCACGATATTCACCGAGGCAAATTCCTTGTGTGTGTTGGCATTACTTGGCAATAAACCTGCTGTTTCTGATTCTGATATTAGTAGGTTGGATGGTTAACTAATGGTTGATTTCCTCTTTATACTTTTAAATTCATCTTTCATTTTTTATTGTAAGTACAGGCTTTTTCTGTCGCATGGCAGAACAAGAGTTAGAAGTGTTCAGCCCTTCCTCTATTCAAAATGTAACAATCAAAATCTTGATACTGCAATCTGATGGATTAAAAAAAAAGTAATATAGCACAAAACTGTCTTCTACAACTAGGAAAAGACAACAATGATCATGTGCTACAATATCCTAAATCTAACATCTTGTTTTATCAACATTTCAATGTAATATAGATGAATTGCCCAGCCCTAGTTCAAAATATAAGAGCTGGTGGTGAATTTTATTTAAAACTGTGGTAACACGTTTTCCCTGACTCTCCACAGAACAATGACCTCATGAAGAACACGGTGCACCGCCATGAGCCCCCTGTGGTTGGCAGACCTCTGGAGGTTCTGGTGGACGACGGTGAAGTGCTCGTGATCGACAAGCCTGCCTCTATCCCGGTCCACCCCTGCGGGCGTTTCCGCCACAACACAGTGATCTTCATCCTGGGGAAGGAGCGGGGCATCTCTGAGCTCCACACAGTGCACAGGCTGGACAGGCTGACCTCTGGAGTGCTGATGTTTGCCAGGACACTGGAAACGTCTCAGAAACTGGACAAGTTGGTGAGAGACAGACAGGTACGTTCAGGACAGGGAGGATTAAAGCATTTATTTGGGTAAACCTGTGGGACAACCCTTTATATCAGTGGGTTTAGACCATAGTAGTAAGATTTATCTTGTGTTATTAAAATGTTTTTTTTTTTAATTGTGTCAAAAATATGTAAACATTTTCAAACTTAGAGGCATCCATCATTTTAATCAAGGTATTGGCGTCCCCCTGTATCCTAATTTTTGTCCAGTTTAATGCCGCATTATAGCAATACAATTTTTAGATGGTCTTTTTTACCATACATTTTGATCGGAATGTTAAAATATTCGGATGTCTGCGTCTTAAGTTATCAGATAATTAAACGAAGAAAAGGCTACAGGACAGCGTCAGAGAAAAACAGATTTTATTCTATGTTTGAATTTACTTATTGGGTCCATTTGTTATGCAGACACTCTCTGTAGATAATTCTTACAAAAACAAGATGATGAAGAGGAACAATGAAGGAATACTAACCTCTTCTGTCTCTTCCTTTGTGCTTTCTACCAGGTTGAAAAGGAGTATGTGTGCAGGGTAGAGGGGGATTTTCCAGATGGTGAGTTGGTCTGTGAGGAGCCCATCCTGGTGGTTTCCTTTAAAGTCGGCCTCTGCAGAGTCGACCCAAAAGGGAAAGAGAGCAGAACCGTCTTCCAGAGGCTGAGCTTTAACGGGAAAACAAGCGTTGTCCGCTGTTTACCGCTGACCGGCCGCACACACCAGATCAGAGTCCACCTCCAGTACCTGGGCTTCCCCATCCTCAATGATCCCATCTATGGGTCCTCCGCCTGGGGTCCTCACAGGGGGAAGGGGGGACAGGTGGACAAGAGTAATGAGGAGCTGCTGCAGGCTCTGGTAGAGGAACATCGCTCTCAGGAAAGTCTTCTCCTTCTGGATATACCTGACGATGCGGTTGGGATTGAACAAGAATCGGAAAAAGCCAAGACATCTGAGAAGGTAGAAACATCAGATGGCACCTCTGAACTTCACACAAGTGGAGAGATTCATCAGAGCGACACTCAGGGGCCGACAGGTTGTAGCTCAGGCAGTGAGACGGTGGATAAGGTGAGTCAGATCTGCACAGACCCAAACGCTAATAACACCTCACTTGAGTCCGAAGCTGACAAATCAACTGGAAATCTAACAAAAGCAACAACTCAACCAGAAACTAGAGATAACCTGTGCTCTGAATGTAAGCTGGATCGAGCAGATCCCACAGAGAAGGAGCTCATCATGTATCTGCACGCTCTACGCTACAAAGGACCTGACTTTGAATATTCTACACGTTCACCTGATTGGGCCAAAGAGGACTGGGTCGAGACTGAATGGAGCTTACCTGATGCTGACTGATGATGGCCTTGTTGGTGTTTATGTCACTGCCTTAATGCCTTTTTTTCAGACCTTAAAAGCCTGACTAGATGTATTTAGTTTTGCTCCGAGGCATTTTGATTTGTCTTTTATGATAATGCCAATTTATTTCTAGGGTATTCCTAATGCACAAATATGTTTTTCTTTTGACTCTAGGCTGTTTTAGCTTTAAACAAAGAGGATTTGGATTCTTACTTATTTTACGTTTTAATATCATTTCATCCTACAAACCTGTAATGTGCCCAATAATTGAACCAAGATTTGAAATAAATCAAAAGCCAGTCTGCAGGAAAATAAATGTTTTTTTATTTATTTTCTGTTACGTGAAAAAATGCACAACATTACATCTGTAAATAATAATAGTGGTGGTAATCTTTTAAGTTCTACTGTTCATAGGCAGGTTGTTTTCTGCTGAGTGCTGTAGAGTGACGGCTCATTGAAGAATTGTGATTATACAGTCAAGATGTCAAAAGCAAACACTTTTGACAAAGAGAAAGCTTGAGAATAACACTGCTCATAGGCACATTAAACACAAGTACCTTCTTGTCTAGGTGTTATGCTAGAACCACCATCAATGCACCCCAAACGCCACTTTTCTTTATACACTCAATATCATAAAAGGAACATAGACACATCTCTTATTTTACTTTTTAAAAGGACACACCCTTTTCACAAAACACACTTGCAGCTGTTTCTGACTGACATCTGGCACATGCTGATTCATGAATAGCTATTAGCTCAATAAAAACAGCTGATGGGACGTGTAGATAGCGTGTAGATAAAGGCCTCCTTATATTTTCTGTCGGAGTTTATTTTAACCGTGCTGCAGCAAAGTGTGTTGCTGTTGAAGGAGTTGCATGTGATGGCACAACTACTGCTTTGAAAACAGAAATGAGAGCTTCTTCCTTTTCAAGGCTAAGACATGTGTATAAACCCACATATAGTTTTCTCTCTGCATTAGAAACCCTTTTTTGCCTTTTTAAGTACAGTAAACATAAAAATATTTTTGGCACTGACACTGGAATAAACGGCATGACTCTTAATTTGACGGTGAAACACTAAAAGAAACCAAACCATGGCACTACAAAGGACACATTACTACATGGTCACAAAGGACATACTGTACATAATGGCCAAATTTCAAACCGATAATACTTAGGATATTATTATAAATTATTATAATTTACTGTTCTCTCCACAAAGTGCAAGATCAACTGACCATAGTAAAGTGAAAGTTTGCTACTCAATCTATCTTTTGATATTCAGATGTCCATAAATGTATATGGCTCTTAAAGGTCAAATCCAGCATGTAGAAAGGCCGGCGGCTGCACCGGGCGACACTGTCTTTTCTTAAAACCCAGTCCAGGCACAAAGTAAACTCTCCAGGTGCAGCACTTTTTTTGTAAGAAAGCTTCATGTTAATTGCCTCAGATGGGAAATGCCGTTTTTTAAGAAGTCATGCTTTATATTGACTTTTCGCTGAGGAGACACTCATGCTCGGACCCTGTAGCACACACTGCAAAAACCTTAGCAGCAACTTTAAACAACATGCTGTCACATGTTACATGTTGGCTTAAATTCCCCTTGAGTATTACACAAAAGCAACACTATATGCTCCTTTTGTAGTTTATATATGCTTTTATAACTACAGTTCTTCTTTATATATATTCAAAGCAATGTACACAGTGATTGCAAAAATTCCTCTGAACTTTGCTCAACATGTATCCTCCCGCTGTCCATCCCTCTTTATCCAAACATCTGGCAGGTCGGGCTTACTGTTGGGTAAGATGACGGCTTCTTCACTCTGACTGTTGCGACCCTTACTTGTCTGGTAAACAGGGTCTTTCAGTGAGAGACGAAGTGTATCTCTCTTCCCGTTTAGATGTCCTGGTTGCAACTGAAATTCTTCTTCTGCTTCATTCTGCCGCGTGTTGGAAGGCCCTGGCTCTATGTCACTCAGACAAGTTTCATTCGAGTCTTCCAGGCCCTCGCAGGAGCTCTGAGACTGCGAGGAGAGACCCCCTCTGTCGGAGCAGGGCTGGTGACTGTCCTCTGTGGTTTGGTCATCTTTACTGAGGGATGTCTGGTCGATAGTCTCCAATGTGTGGCTGATAATGGTGTCCTCCATGCTGGAAGATGAGGAGAAGGTTGTATTGCTCCAGTGTGTCACCCCACCAGACTGACCTCTGCATGTGTTACACAGCAGCTTATCCTTCGCTGCATCTTCCCGTGTGACTCCTACAGGCCGCAGGGTGTTTTCTTTGTATGGAGATGAAGTCTGAAGAGCTGGAGGTTGCTGGCTGGTCTTATTTTGATGACTGCACATCTCCTCACTTTCCCCATCCATGCTATTTCGGCCAACTTCTCCTCGGCAGTACTCGATCTCATCAGAGAGCACAGACGGCTGGTTGGACAGCTTACTGGTACAGGTGCTGTTTTCAAAGCTGTCGCTCAGTCGATAGGCCAATGGCTGCAGCTCGTACTGCTCCGGCCCTCGGCCCCCTCCTCCCCCGGCTGCAGTCTGTTTCTGTCTCTGCTGACGCTGGGGGTCGGGGTACAGATAGCCTCCTGCTTCTTTGTCATAACTCCTCCTCATTCTGGATCTGCCAAACGCCCCGTTCGCAGCCGAGGCTGACGGAGATCCAGGCTCTGCTGCAGAGCAAGAGTTCAGCGCTCCGTCATTGTAATCTGAAAAACATGGTAACGTGATCTTGCCACAGTTTTTCTGGGGTCCAAAAAAGCAGCAAAGAGACTGGAAGAAGAAGGTTGCAAATCCACATGCTACACATTTCACCAAAAAGAGGAATATCCCCAGTTTTCTGAACAGCAAGACCGTGGAAGGCAACATGATGATCCCCATGGAGAAAAATGCACCAGAAACTATTGCTACAGGGCATCCCATCCTTTTGGTGGAGTGGGCTACTTTCCCAATTTTGTCTGAATGAGGAGCCAAAGTGTAGGAAATGCAGTAGTTTGCAACAAAGTCAACAGAGAGCCCTGCTGCTGATGAAATAAACAGAGCCTCGATGCCGCTCAGCTGCCATTCAAGAAGAACAAGCAGGCTAATTGTGACAAAAACACTTCCCCCTACAGCTACGGTCCCATAAATGCTCAGTGGAATATTCCAGGTGGTTAAGAGAAGTAAAGCAAACGTGATGGCTACTGAGAAGCCAGCTACTGCGAGAGTCTCCGAGCTTAACACGTGTTGCAGATCAAAAAGAGACAGCTGGCTGGTGAACCAACCCTTCTCCAGCCCGTGTGGTGCCCCTGATATTTCTCTGTTGAACCATGTCAGGATTTCTCTGTAGAAAAGACTGGTTCTGCTGAAGTTGAAGCTGTAGAGGTATGTGGTTTTGAATGCCAACACAAGAGCTGCGACCCTGCCATCTGGCTGGAAGTGCAGACCTCCGCTGTGGGCCAGATGGCCTTCAGCATACCTCTCCGCCAGCATCATACTGAGGCAGTTCTCAAAAACGCTGGGAGTGTAGGGGAAAGGGATGTCGTTACAGCAAAAATTGGGAGAGTCATCACTTTCTGAGCACCGTCTGACAGAAACCCACTGAATTAGCTCCTCCACAAGACAAATATTGTCCGTCGTAACGTCTTTATCCTCAGGTGAAGGAGGGGAATAAAAGCTTTTGTTCTGAACGCGTCCACATAAGTCCCTTAACCAAACCTGAGCATCTGGATGGCTCATGTTAAAGTCTGGGTCCAGAACCAAAGAGCCATTGCTCCTGGGGTTAAAGTGATCCCCGTTATCAGTTGGTTTGACACCCCAAACAAGCATTAAGGTAACTGGTTTATCCTCTCCATTCCTTTGTCTCTCAAACATAAACATATGTCGATACTCTGCATCGTATCTTTCAAACGGGTGACTTGAGCGGAAAAGCTTGGCCACACTGCTGTCCAAGGTGGGCAGCTTCATGCAAGGTTCAATACAGGACATGTAAGTGCCCCCCGCAGCGAGCACTGCAAACCAGCAAACCCAAATATACCTAAACTTCACCACCCCACAAGGCAGGATTTTCAGAAATAACAAGTTGGAAGTGTCGCTGATTCCTCTTTTTAATTCTCTCAGCTTCTGCCCGAGTGTGAAGAGGCATCTTTTGCGTGAGCTTGTGTCCCAGAAGCCGCCAGCGTTTTTGGAGCAGCATGGTTTCCATCCCTGCACTGCTACAGACGCAGAGGATGCTTCCGTGTAGCGCTCTCGCAGAATAAAAGAGCACGGCAGCCACACCAATGCCAAGAGGGAGCTGATAAATGAGGCCGTTCCTAGATAAACAGAGAAACATCTGATTGCTGTGATGCTGCTGAGATAACCAGAGAAAAATGCTGCGCTGGAGGTCAACCCTGACGCTAAAATCAAATAGCCGACTTCCTGCAAAGCTCTGTTTACTCTTTTCTCCAGGGAGGCTGAGGGACTCTGGGATAGCTGCTGATTCCAGAAATCGGCGAAGATGAAAACCTGGTTGGAGCAGCTTCCCAAGAGAAATAGAGCTGCAGAGAGGTTGACCAGGGGGAAGAAAGTCAGGCGAAATGCTACTTTATAGAAGAAATAGGAGGTCAGGAGGGAGCCTGCGATTGCTATTACAGATAATGCAACTATGAAGAGAGAGTGGAGATAAAGAGCCATCGTGAAAATAAGAGACACAACAGCTAGCACAGGGTAAATTGAATCTCTTGCCAGGTAATACTTGAAAAGCTTCTGCTTGATGCCAAAGTCCATGCCAGTGATGGTTGTATTGTTGTATGTCAGATCCCTGCCTTCGAGACTCTTCATGTATATCTCCATCATGTGTTCCCCCTTGTCGACGGGTAAGAACAGAAGGCTGTACTTCAGCGTAGGGATTTGGTATTCAACAGTCTGTGGGCCCAGGAAGTCTTTATCGACCAGGTAGTGCAGGATTTGGAACACCACACGGGATTGTTTACAGCGGGACGGGACGGAGGAACAGCCGCCGTGTTTGGGTCTCTCGACACACGCCTCCACTAGGTGTCCTTCGTGATAATGCAGAGCACATTTCCGGAGAAGGTTCAGAGACTCAGACACCTGGTGAGAACGGGAGAAAATAGAAAAAGGTATTCAGTGCACTGCAGATTTAGTTATAATGAAGTGTTGCAAATTACTTAACCAGCTTTCCCGTAGCATGCATCATCAACCTTAACTTAAAGGCAAATCTAAGAAGTGTTATTTATCATTCTGTTTTTGTGTGAGTTACAGAGTGATGGAAAATCAGCCTAAGAGATGTCTTCCTTCTCTCTATTATAATAGAACTAGATGTCACTCAGCTTGTTACC